GGTAGCTGCAGAAACAGATCTCAAGGGGCACACGGGGTCACAGGTGGGCGGCAAGGGCACTCTCGGCCACAAGGGCTTCCACTCCACTCCGTCACCGGTGACCAGAGGCCTGGCAAGTGCGGCATTGCACCTTCAAGGAGACCTCGGGGACACTGTCCACCCAAGGGGGGGCAGGCACGAGGCCCTGGGGCCTGGGGAGCTCCAGGCGCAGCCCCACAGTGAAGCCAGCTCTGTGGCCAGGGCCCTCGAAGGCACGGTGCCCTCCAAACTGAGCTGGAAGGGGCCGCACGTGCCCCCAGTGAGTGCTAGCTGCGGACCCTCCCCGTCCCCACAGACGCGGGGGGCACAGCCAGCTGGAGCCGAGTGGGCTGCCCCACAGGCAGGGCAGACAGCAGTCACTCCACAGACAGACACTGTGGGTGACAGCAAGAGAATGGGGAGCCAGAGGAAGGCTCGCCCGGCAGGGAAGGCGCCTGAGCTCGGGCCCTGGGCTGGTGCGGGTGAGGCGCTGGTGTGGGGAGCCGGGGACCCTGGTGCCTCCCGTCCCGAGAGAGGGTCCTCACAAGCTCCACTGCTCCTTGAGGTGGCCAGTCAGGGAGCCAGCCCTGGAGACCCCAGTCCACACACGCCCCCACCTCCCCTTGGTCCCCACGCCCCGCCAGACCCAGCCCTTCAGCCACCAGCCAGGAAGGGGCGGGACCTGGAGCGCCGGAGTGGGGGCCCCAGCACGGTCCAGGGTGGCTGCCTGTCCAGTGGCCTCAACCCCTGAAGCCCCAGGACCTGCTGCAACCAGTCTGTCCTTGGGAGCTGGGGGCCGTGGCCGGAGTGGCCGGGATCTGTGGGGAAAGCAAGGGTCCAGTCTGGCCCTGCCGGCACACGCACAGCCGGGGGCACCTGCTCAGATGATTCTAGAGACAACTCTGCACCCCAGGCCCACGGCAGGGCAGAGGCTATGCCACAGAGGGGCCTCCGGGCAATTCCTGCGTCTGCTGGCGGGGGTGCCAGGCCTTGGTGATTCCTGGGGGGACCCACAGCCAGAGCCACACCAGGGCAGCTGGTCCAGCAAAGGGCAGGTCCCTCTTTGGTACTGCTGCTGCGTGCTCTGTCTGGTGGGCCCTTCCCAGGACACATGGCCCCACAGAGCCGATACTACCACCAGGGGGAAGGCAGTTGGGACATGTGACCACTCGCAGGTGCCCAGAGCCACAGCGGGTCACGGCAGGCAGGGGCCGCTCTGGGTCCCGGGTCCTCCGGCTTTGCCTACAGGAAACTGCCAGGAGCCCCTTCACCCGGTACCCACAGGGACAGCCCACCCAGAGCTGGCTGGGGTGCAAAGGGACACTGCATAGGCCTTTCCCATCACCACGTGGGGGTCCGGGAGATCGACGGGGGTCCCCACTGCGCCCCTCCTCAAGCTGGGCGGCCACACTCTGAGCACAGGAACCTGCACCCTCGGGCTCTCAGGCCACGCCTGTGCACCAGCGGGTGCCGGCGGAGGAGCTGTGGTGCTTGACCAAGTACTGCATGCGAGCCGGCTTCCTGGCCTGGCCAGAGGCCTGCCGGACGTACTGACCTGTGAGCTTCGTGCTCACACGGCAATGACTGAGCGGCTGCCCTTGGAGGTGACCGTCAGACACGGCAGGCGGGGCACCCATGGCCAGCGTCTGCAGACCCACTCCCCCTGCTCTGACTACCTCTTCCCCCTGCCGCACAGCCAGCCCGTGTAGGGAGGCCGGCTCTTTCTCCTGCCTCAACCCCCCCACCCTGGACACGTCCCTTCCCTCCGCCTCCCCATCCAGCTCCTGGCCTTGGTCACCCCAGGGCCTGCCCAACTCTCCCCCCAGGTCACCTGTCACTGCCTCTCTCACCTGTCCTACCTTCACAGGCTTCCCCTACCCCCGAACTCCCCTCCAGCCTGCCTGCCACCAGCACCCCCACGAACCCTAAAGGGGGACCTTCAGCAGAGGTCTCGGGGGAGAACATAGGAGGCGGCATCCCAGGGCCCCTGGGCCCACCTGCCGGCCAGGGGATCCAGCCAGGTGAGCAGCAGGGAGGCCCCCTCACTCCCACCCTCTCTCTTTAGCTCCCCACCTTCCCTATTGCCCTCCCACCAGAGGGGTTCCAAGGGCGGCCGCACCATGTCCTGGGGGCTCCGGCAACCAGAGCAGCTCCCTCAGCCTGACACCAGCCCTGCCTCCGTTTCCTGGGACAGGAGGGACCACACCGCACAGCGTGGGCAACGCGCCTCCCGGGCCTGGGGGTCCCCGCTGGGGCCCTCTGGGGGTGCCTCCCACCCCCTGCCCCAGCTGAAGAAGCCTCTCCAAGAGGAGGCGGAGGCCAGGCAGGGCCTCGGCAGTGGACGGCTGCACAGCCACAGCAGCCCCGACAGGCCCCGGAGTCACTTCTCTTCACCAGAAACCTTGACGCAGCTGCTGGGGGCCTCCACGGGGCTGCCTGCCCAGGCCCCAGCAGGCCGTCCAGGGCGGCTGGGCAGAGATGGGGGCAGAAGGCAGACGACCCTGGGACCACAACCGAACCCCAACGTGGCCAGCAGCCCGCAAGCCTCCCAAACATACCACAGAGCAGAGTGGACCCTGCCACCCCATCCCACCCTGGGGACCCAGCAGGCAGAGGGCCGCAGCTCTGCCCGCACCTGTACTGGGCAAGGGACAGAATCCCCCGCCCCTTGTTACAGGCCCCAAAGGCAGCATTTGGGGCTGTGCAGTGGGCCCGCCTTCTGACTGGCCCTGGCTTCAAACAGAATGGCTGAGAGGTCCAGCTGCCCCGTGCTGCTGCCAACCCCCAGCTCCCAGAGGGCCACAGCTTCCGCTTTGTAGGACTTGGGCAAGAGCAGAACAGAGAGGACTGATGTGACCACAGTCTCGAGTCGGGAGGGCTGGGCTGGGCGGCGGGAGCCCCCGCTGCGGCCCAATACCAGGAGAAGCGGCTCACCAGAAGTGCAGCTGCCTCGGCTGCACAGGGGGCTCCTGACCACAGCCTGGCCCCCCGATTAGGTCAGACATTTACTTCCAGGGTGAAAGGACAGGCTGGGGAGTCGACACGCTCTTGGCACTTGGTGCCGAGTGGCCAGGCCGGGTGCTTGACCCTCGGAGGCCCCAGTCCATTCACTGGAGGACCCTTCCTCCCAAGGGACAGCAGGTCTTCCTGTTGAAGGGGCACCCCACCCGAGAGCGAGGCTGGAGGGGACACAGGACTGACAGACCCCCACTTGGCAACTGCCATGCTGCCGGCTCCGGGGGCCCCTGGAGCTCCTTCCCGAGCAGCACATGGCGGCGTGTTGTTGACACACACACACACAGCACCCCCGTTTTTGTTCATTACTGTTAATTACAGTGGAGGCCTCCTGTAATTAACTGCGCGACAGCGTGACTCCGTGAAGAGTGCGGGACCAGACTGCTCACGGAGGCCGGCGCGCGCCCGTGCGCACCGCAATCCGTCCCTGTCAGCACTCGCTCACCGAGGTCTCCTCATCACCTCTTATCGGCACAATAATTAGGTTATTGCACTGCCTCCCGCATTTTGCTGCCCCGGGCCCCTCCCCGCGGAGGAGTTCGCCAGCCACAGCTGTCCCTCCCAGGAAACATGCATCGCCTGGACTCAGCCTGGTTGTCTGCTGCCGCCTCCGTCTCCTCCAACAGGGACCCGGCCTGGCCGTGTGCACTCCCCGAGGCACGGCCCGAACGGCCGGGGCCCACAGTTGGCACAGGGGGCTGTCGACGACACCTCACGCTCTCTGCTTACATCACAGCCACGGCCTCCTCAGAGAGCCGGACCTGGCCCACTTTCCTCCCAAACACCACCTCCGGCTCCTCTGGGAGGGTCTACGGGCCCCCGCTGGCACAGCCGCCTCCCGGACCCCCACCCTCCACTGCCCTGCCCGTCTCAGGTCTCAGGGACGGCCCAGAGATCTCTGCCAACTGGGCCTCTGGGCACCAGGCAAGGCCCATCCTGGGAGAAGAAAGAAAATGGCTGAGCCCAGCCTCCCACAGAGCGACTCTGGGAACACGGGCGGAGGAGGGGACTGGATGCCTGGTCGGGACCTAACCTGATCACTAAAAGAGCGGACCCAGCCAGGAAGCTGGTGGCCTCCTCTCCCTCCCGTAGACCTGGGGTCTGCTCCACCATAGTCTGGGAGGACCCACGGCCCGGATCCGGGTTGGGCCAGGTACCAGGCTCCCTCTCCCTCCCCCGGGGAGCGCTGCGTCGCAGAGACATTCTCGGCAGAAGCTGGAAGGGGGAAAAGGCGCTGTCCAGCCCTTTCAGTGGCCTGGGCACTCTCCCATTCCCACCGTGGAGAGAGGTCCCGGCCTGGCCAGGGTGGCCTCCTTGGCTCGCAGATCGCACCGGGCTGCCTCTCTGCCTGCTGGCCACCCGGAGTTTGGGGTCGCGGCCGGGGGCGCAGCTGCTCGGGCGGCACGCCTATTAGCGCGGCCGCGGCAGACGGCAGATGGGCGCCCGCTCGGCCCCCTCCTCCCGCGGCACAATGGGCCTGATCGCTCCGCGCACAATGCGGCCGGGGCCACGCACCTGCAGCCAGAGCTGAGGGGCGCTGGCTGGGCCCGTGCGCCCCCACCCGCGCCGCGTGTCCTTGGACCGCGCCCGGCCGACCGCAACCGCGCGGCCTGCGGTGCTCCGAGGCGGGACCCAGAGCCCGGCCACCCATTGTTCGCGGCTGCCGGCCGGGAGCCCGGCCGGGCCTGCAGCACCACACTCAGGGCGCCCTCCTTCCTGGGCCCCGCTCGGCGCGCGGTCAGCACGGCCTCCCCGATCTCGGCCGGCCTGTGCGTCCCTGCGTCCTGGGCCTCCCCATCGCCCCTGGTCCTCCCCTATCCCCTGGTGCCTCCGGTCCTCCCGCCGACCCGGTCCTCGCCAGTTTCCCGGCGCTGCCGGCCCCCCTCAGTGTCCAGGTCCCCCTGACGTCGGCCCCCAGGCCCCCCCAACACCCCTGTCCCCCGGCCCCCGGCCCGGCTCGCACGCACCTGTCTGCCCCTTGCCCAGCGTCTTCTCCAGCCGGTAGGGCCCCACATACTGCGCGTGCTGCGCCCCGCCGCCGTCCTTCCCCGTCGATGTCATCGCTCCCGGGCCCGGCGCCGGCGAGGTGGGCGCCCCGGGCGGGCGGGCGGCGGCAGGGAGGGGCCGCGTCCGTCCGGGTCCGTCCGCGTCTGTCCGTCCGTCCGTCCGCTGAGCCGGGTCGGCGGCGCCCGGTGGGCCGCGCTTGCTCCGCGCTCCTCGCGCCTCTCCTTGTCGTCGTCCCCCGCGCCGGCTCCGCTAGGGCCAGGGGTTCTGCCTCCGCTGCTTCGAGAGGACCGGGCGGGCGGGGGCACTAGGCTTCCGCCGCCGCCGCCGAGGCCCGCGCCCCGCGCCCCCAGCGCACGCCCGTCAGTCGGTTCGCGGCCGCGCAGACGAGTGGAGCAGAGCCTAGCACTCGGGCCCCCGAGCCGAGCGGAGCCGAGAGGAGCCGAGCGGAGCCGAGTTCTAACGAGCGAAGCCCCCTGCAGCGGCGGCGGCTGCGACTGGCTCCTGCGTCGGCCAATCAGAGGATCTGACCAATCAGAGGAGGCCGCATCGCCGCCCCCCCTCCGCCCTCCCAGCCGCGGCTGCGGCCGGGGGAGCTGGACTCCGAGAGGCGAGTCCTGGGCGAGTCCCGGGCGAGGTCCGGGCGACGTCCGGGCGAGGTCCCTGCGGGAGGAGGGCAGTCCGGGCTGGCGCGGAGCCTGGCCGTCCCCAGCGCGCCTCCCAGCTTGCCTCCCGCCTCTCCAAGCGCCCCTGGGACTGTGCAGGCAGCGGGGATGGAGGTGCGGGGGTAGGGCGAGCGCGCGGGGCGGGAGCGCGCAAGGGCCGCCGGGGCCTATGAGGGTGGACAATCTGCGGCCCCTGGCTCCCGCCCCGTGCCTGCTGGCCGCGACCGCAGGCGTCAGAAAGACTTGCTCATCCCCTCACTTCCCCCGGGACGATGGCACTGCGGGGGCGCTTGGCCGAATCGTGACCTTGCGCCTCCCGAGGCCGTGCAGGGGACGCTGCCCTCCTCCGCACCGTCTTCCCGGGTATACGACGTGACCAGCATGGCGGGGTCAAGGAACTCATCTGAGGTCACCAGGCAGTGGGCCTCCCTGCGGACACTTATTGTTGGGTTGGCCATTGGGCCAGGGCGCATGGGCACCGACAGCTCCGGAGCAGCGTCTGCCCAGGCCGCCAAATCCATTTCCTGTAGAAACCAGCGCCCCCGCACCTGCCTTAAACTCGTGTTGCAGAGGGTGGTGGGAGAGGAGAGGTGAAATCCTCGGGGGCAGGGAGCTCCCCCCAACCCTGCCGAAGTCGGGGGTCGCGAAGCCGTTGAGCCCCTGGGTTGCTGGACCGAGCACGGAGTCCGCGGCTAAGTCCTGGAGATGAAGTGCCCCTGGCCCCCAAAGCTCTCCACAGCCAGCTCCTGCCCGCCCTGGCGGGGGGCTCTGTGAACGCTGGGATCTTCCCAGCACCCCACCCACAGGCCCTACAGGCCATGAGGAGGCAGCCCTCCTACCAGTGTCGGTTTGTCTCTGCCACTGTGTGTCCCTGGGGCTGTGCTAATAAGGGCTGAGGCCTCAAAAGGTGTGCAAATGCCAGCCAGACAGCCAGCCAGGGCTCACAACATTAACGAGACCACCACAGGCAGAGGCTGGGGGAGGGACGTGGCCGCATCTAAGGAGCTTTTGGGAGCTTGGCCTAGGAAAACTACCCAGGGGGAGGCCTGCCTGGAGGCAGGCCTGGAGTCACCGGGCTGGGGCGTCTGCAGGGAGACCAGGGGTGGCAGGCCTGTTCGTAGAGAAGGGGCACCTACCAGGTAATTCCCAGGTAATTCCTGGCCTCCTTGTCTCCCTCTGCTGGGCCTGGCCATCGTTACTGGGGCCTCCAAAGCCTGCAGGACTTGCCACCTCTCTGTGCCCTCAGCAGTGTTTGGCCTTATGGCCCATTCTCATCTGGACACCCCTGGGCTGACCCTCTTGGTTTGCAAGACCCCCACCCTGCCCCTGGGCTGCTGGGGTCTTGTCTTCCCTCTCTGGCCACCACTCAGCCTGCTCTGCATGTGTGAAGCCCATACTGCTGGCATTTGTCGGGGCCTAGTGGGAGGCGGCTCTGCGTGCCCCCCCCACCCCCAGTCCTCCAGGCGTCTGCTCTGAGCCCAGTCCTGCAGCCCGCCACCAGCCTGCCCTCGCACCAGGGCCTCAGGCCACCTCCCTCCTGCACCTTTCCTGGTGTCTGTTGCATAAACTCCCAAACTCAACAGTTCACAGCAGAGTGTCTCGTCTCCCCATCTTTGTGGAGCTCAGGAGCACGCCCTTTCCGGGCCAGTGCTGGCTTCAGTGCCGAGAGCGCCCAGGCCAGGGGCCTGGCTGGAGTGACACCAGCCCCTTAAGAAGTAACAAGGACACTAGGAGTTTCAGAACACAGAGGAGGAGGGGACACTCCCTAGCTCTTCATGTGAGACCGGTGTGATCTTGCTCCTGACACAGGGCTGGACAAGGAAAGAAAGTTAAAGTCCAGTGAAAGAGGGAGACCTGAGAAAAACAGTTACCTTCTGCAGGGCTGGGCCCTTGTAGGACAGGCTCCCTCTGCTAGGTGAGTGTTCTAGGAGCCCATCAGTGCACCGGCTGACGTCGCTGTGAGAGGCTGCGTTCGGCCTCAGTGAGTTTTTTTGGAAGACGTGTTCAAAGGAACATGTTTGCCCCTTTCAAGATCGGTGATTTAGAGTAGAGCACACCTGCCCACCCCGTACTGAGTGCTCAGCAGTTTTTAACCAAAAATTGCATGACCTCTGTGCCCCACCCTCTGTATTCATCAGATCTTGCCCTGAGCGACTTTTCTTTTTCTTTCTCTGGATGAAAAAAGTCCTCAAAGGGAAACATTTGGCCGATGTGGAAGAGGTGAAACCAAAAAATGGCAGAAGCACTAAAAGGCATCAGAATTGACGTGTTCACAAACCGAACATCTTGACAGGATTATTGCATCCAATGGAGAGCGGTTTGAAGATGACTGAGGTTTCAACCCGTAAGAATAAATACACAGTCTTTAATAAATACACTCCGGGTTTTGGGGGTCCCCCCTTGTACGTCCTGAGCCCAGACACAGAATTCCCTGGTGGAGTGTCCTGGGGGTCACGGCACACAGGACCAAGCAGGGTTCATTCCCGGATGTGGAGTTTAAGGTCACCGAGCTGGCAGTCTGGAGCATAAAGGGCACGTGAGCATTTCAACAGATTCAAAGACAAAAGCCCTTGGCAAGATTCCAGGTCCATTCAAGACCGAAAACGGTACCAACCTCAGTAGGCCAGGACTGGCAGGTGGCTCCTGCGCCCGCCGCGGCTGGGTACTCCGCTCTCGCAGTGACGCAGACCAACAGCCACTCTGGGCACTGCCCTTGAGACCTCGCTGGAGGCCCAGCCCGTGCACTGCAGCAAGGGAACGAAAGTTACACTATATTTTTACAGGACTGGAAGGGAAGGACTAAAACAATCCCAGCTGTAGAAAACCCTAACTTCTAAGAGTCTAGGACTCATAAGTGAGGTCGGCCAACCTAGCAACAGGTAATTGGAAATCGACATTGCAAAAACAAACGCCACTCACAAACAGATTCAATAACCAGGACACGCTTACAGGCAAATTGCACGTGACGTGTGGAAAGCGGTGCACAGAGGACCACCCATGGCCGCAGGGACGCCCAAGGACCCAAGTGCACGAGCGTATGCCACGCTCATGCGTGCCAACTCACCCTCGGTGGCGTGTCGATTCTCTCCACGCTCATCTATGACGTCAACACTGTTTTAAGCCAAACCATCACCATCTTTTTTTTTTGAGACTGACAAGCTGATTCTAAAATTTTTAAAAAATATTTATTAATTTATTTATCTTTAGAGGGGAAGGGGGGAAGGAGAGAGGGAGAGAAACATCAATGTACGGTTGCCTTTCGTGCATCCCCTGCTGGGAACTGGCCTGCAGGAAACCAGCCTGCAACCCAGGCATGTGCCCTGACTGGGAATCGAACCGCGATTGTCTGGTTCACAGGCCCGCGCTCAATTCACTGAGCTACACCAGCCAGGGCCTGATTCTAAAATCTAAAAGAAGTGCAAGGCACCAGGAAACCCCAAACAATGATGAAGGAGAATGGAGCCGGAAGAGTCACGGGGCCCAGTTTGGTCTCAGTCTGAAGCAGCCACCGGGACAGAACGCTGACAGCTTACGGAGAGACGCTACAGAATGACCTCGGAGCCCTGGGGTCCGCCCTGAGGTCCACGGCCATGGGCTTTCCCAAAGGTGCAGAGGCCAAGGTTATCTGCAGGGGAGCAGGGTCATTTCAACAGAAGGTGCCATCTGCTCAGTGTGTAAGAGCCGTAAGTATAAGCCTTCTAGAGAAAAGTCACAGGGGAAACCCTGGTGTCCTTGGGTAAGGCGAAACTGTGTCCTGTTAGATGCTAAAGAGCCCAAACCACACAATAAAAACAGCACGAACTTGAACACTATCAGAATGAGAAAGTTTGGAGCTGCAAACGCCACTGTAAAGAAAGCGGAAAGCCACCCACCGGTGGAGGGAGCGCATCCGGAACGTGCGTCTCTGCTGCCAGAGATTTATTTGTATGTAGAATAAGCAGTGGGCAATCCACCCTTAACAACCTGCAAGGAGAAAACCTGATTTAAAACTTGGGCTGAGCTGGGTTTGGCGGTTCGTGTCTTTCCAGGAGTGTCTCCGTCACATCTGACTTACCTGGCTTGACAGGGTCCACACGGATTCGGCTGACTTTCCCCTTGGCCTCTCATGGGGTCACTGCTGCCCGCTAGGGACCCTCTCAGAATGGGTCAGCCCGCCCGTCCTTGCTCCCCACCACCGCCTCCCTCAGGGAGAGAACCTCGGTGGCTCCCTTCACCCGACCTCTGCCCTTGTCTTCCACGGCTCCCACACCTGGTCCTTCTCAGGTGCTGCGGGCCAGGCACCTGCCCCCCCAGGCCCCGAACCGCTGTCCTCTCAGGCTGGAGGGCCCTCCTCCAACGTGCGGCGGGCTCCCGCCAAAGTCAGGGGACCTGCTGGCCAGGGCGGCTGTACTGAAGTCCCTCAGGCTGGCGGCTCAGACCACGGACACCCGGTGTCCCCGCGCCGGAGGCT